TGTTTGCCTTTAATCTTTTAAGTTCCTTGTGAACGTTGCTTGGATCGAATGACGCAGCTGGACTTGAGCTAATGAAGGAGGGCGAGGAAGATGAGCCTAGTGAGGCGGAACTAAACTCCGAATTCAGTTTATTCACATCCACTTCACCTCTCTGGCTGCAAACGCTTTTACCACGGAACTGCCTGAGAAGCCTCCGTAGATCGCGTGAGTTATGGTTGCCTAGAACAGCTTCGATGTATAATTGATTTAGCCTTTTTTATTATCTCGGATTCACTTGCCGTGCTTAGGCTTTTGACACGGGTAGCATTCTTGCATTTTTAGGCCCATTATTTCATCCTTCAAAGTCGCATTAGTAGTGGTGATGAAAATGGGTCTGCTCTTAGCTCATTTCAACAGGACAACACATGTTAAAGCAATATTTGATGTAGTCCGTAAGATGGTCACATTCGATCGACAGGTCCTCGTCGTTGAAGACCGAAAAATCAGTTAAAGAAACCATCGTCTGGAGTCTCGTGATATTTTCCAAGGAGCAATTTCGCCGTTTAATAATCTTGGAAGGATGTGTAGTCAGCGTTAAAAAATTATATCTGCTGTATGTGGCTGGACACAATTTTAAAATACAATGATCTGAGCCGCTCAAAGAAGTCCGCGTTCGTATGACAAACAACTGGCGTTTATTTGTGAACACAGCGTCCAACTGGGCATCTTGTCTGGTCGAAACAATCACTGGGTTTACCATGCCAATTGTCTCCACGAATGTTGTATCCTTCCTATTGAAGTCGCCAGCAACAATTCAGACAGAACAATGGAATTTAGACAGTTTCCTTGAAGAAACTTTTTCCTCAAACAGCTTTAATTCCGATGCAGATGTGTGAGGAGCAATGTATACGTTTCCAACGATGACCGATCGAAAGTCACTTAGGAACTTCGGTTTGCATTCAACTAAATGGCAGCTTATAGAAATTGTTGAGCACGTGATTATTATGATTTCTGAGTTGCACCATCGTTGATTAACATAAGTTATAACGCCACCACCACGAAACTGGGGCTTTCCGAGGCGCTCGGACCTGATGGGAAAATATCCATCGAGTTGCATTACCCCATTTTCCACATCAGTATACAACCAGCTTTCTTGTAACAGAATGACTCCTGTATTAACATACTCATCTCGCGGCATAATGGCACTGAGATCACTGATTTTACCAAGAAGCGAGCGAACATTACTAGAAAGTATCAGTGGGACTTGCGCTTTGTCGACAGAACAACGACTGAGGCCAGATTGCCAGCCAGCATGATGCTTGCGCTTTTTCCAATACATTTATTCGTAATACGTTTGCAAGTGTTCCTGACTTTATGGCCGTATTCGATGAAGCACAGATTTAAGGCACTAACACGTAACGTTTTCAAATTCTTGACGGAGTAGGACAACATTAACCTTGAGACTTGATCCGAGAAAACAAATTGCTTCGAAGTTAATAATAAAATATAGGATCCACAGTCGGTAGTGTAAACTATCCACGGTGTTCCCTGGTGTGTTAGCATCTCTCCGCCATCTAAGGCCTAGTTTACCTGTGAGATTTATCTTCTGAAACGCCGTAAATCTCATGGTCTTGGCGAATTGCCTCTGGCTCTTTTCAGGGATGGAGACCCGTCCCTTCTTTTCGTCATTGACTACCCTCCCTTAAGATATTTGAACCACAGAAATCATCCCATCCGATTGGGGCCTACCGGACATCGTGCCCATCTTCATGAGAGGTGACCGAAGGGATCGGCCTTCTATACGTTGCGTCCAACGTGTTAGCCTACCTACCTTTACGGATACTCAGTCGAGTACACGAGCAGCACATACGTGAAGAACGCGCTGGGTTTCGCCCAGGTCTTGGCTGTATTGTGCACATCTCTACTATTCGCCAGAGTGTTGAGCACCATCGAGTTTTCAGCCGGCCTACCATCGTTTGCTTCCTGAACATACGTGCAGCACTTGATTAAGTTAGCAGAGCTGCTCTCTGAAGTTGTCCGCTGAGAAGCGGTGCCCATGAAGTATGTCAACGTTCTTCAAGCCATTTACTCTCGGGCCGAGTGCGGGTGTACGGCGGAGTTTCGCCTACCTTTAGTACCACTAGTGGCGTGAGACAGAATGAAATCTTAGAGAGTGCTCTGGGAAACTGTGGACCTGGTGGCGTCAAGTTACTCACTGGTGATCGGCTCCGTGACTTGGTGTATGCTGACGACACCGCCTTAAGTTGTGACTTCTCGCAAACTGCCCAAGACATGCTGCGCATGTTGGAAATGTCTGTATCACAGTTCGGAATGACTTTTGCCCCTTCCAAGTGTAAGGTCTTCCTCTAGAACTGTTTAGAAGCTGCCTTTTATCCTCACCCTCTTGTTCTTCTTTGGAAATAATCGAATGTTCGTTTACCTCGGGAGTATCATCAGCGCGAGTGGATTGACGAATGAGAATAGCCTTTGTCATGCTCCGATATCTCTGGCGCTGGCGTGATCTCAGCCTCGCTTTAAAAAGTCTAGTCTACAACGCTGTGGTATGAGCATTTCTCTCGTATGGCTGCTAAATCTGGCCCGTTCATGCGAGCGATGCCCGGAGACTGTCTGTTTTTGATCCCTGCTGCCTCCGGCGCATCGCTGGTGTATGTTGGCAGCATCTCATTAGCAGTGATGACGTTCGATTACGGATCTTAAACAGTCTCCGCCGACCAATGAGCTGCATAATTTCTTTGTGTGCGCACCCGTGGCTGCCAACTCCTCTGAATGTCTGCTCAATGCTTGCCGCGCCGCACTTTGTTTGCATGCGCCAGGGTTGCATTCAGTGGTAGTCAACATTCAACCTGCTTTGAAATTGCAGTTAGCCACGGCGGGACGTTCTAGGCGCCCAGATTATGGCGGCAAGGACAGTGAGCACACTTGGTTGGATGCGCTATCGGACAAGGCTCGGAATCTTACCTAATGGCGAACGTGTTGTGAGACTCACCGCTTTTTTATTTTCTTGCCTTCGCCCATTTGTTGCGGCACTCTGCCTACTGTTTATTGGCCGTTATATATATACCGTAAACTACCGGATATAAGCGGATGATTTTTGGACAATATTTCAATTCTGTAGGGAGGGGATTGGCTTGTAAACAGGTTCTGCGCAATTTGAATAGTCGCATGCAAAATCCACCCAGGAATTCACTGCACACCTCTGCCCCCATCTCCTTATAGCACCATCCGTTAGTGACGGACGGTATTCCTGTCTGGGATTTGAACTGCCTTATTTTTTCGCACGATGTCCACGCAGCACTGCAGGCAGCGCGCCTATATCTGTACACGTTATTTATGTGACGAAAATTTTCGGTATGTTGCACATTTGACGTTAGCGATGGATGGCTGTAACAGAAACAAAAGGGAATATACAGAATCAAACACTATCACACTCAAAAACATGTCAAAATGACCCTCAACACTTACCGGTAGATTTTTTGTTCGGCTAATATAGTGACTTACGACTGGACACATCTGAGGTTGCAAAGTCATACTGTCGGCCTATCCATGGACGGGTTTATATCCGGTAATATACGGTACATATATTTATTTGCATGTCTCCAAGACTCGGGTTACTCCTGCTAATCTCCGCCACCTCTGGCGTCGAGACGATCTGAGTCTATTTCTGAAGGGCTGAGTTTGTAATGCCACACTGAGAGTGGTTCTACTGTATGGCTGCTAGACTTGGCCTGTTCACGCAAAGGATGTTGTGAGGCTTTCTTTGATCACCGCTGCCTTCGGAGCGTTGCTTTCGTACTATGGCAACATCACACTAGTAATGAGAATGTTTGACGGAGGATTTTCAGGTCAGACAGAATTTGCCGGCCACTGAGCAGCATAATTTCTCTGCACAAACTCCAGTTTCTTTGGCGTGTTCTTCGCATGCCTACTCATCGTTTACCTCGCCGTGTCCACTTTGCGCGCGTAAAAATCAAGTTGGCCAACCTATAACTTGGGCCAAAAGCATGAAGGAGCTAAGCTCAAAGTTAGCCGTGGTCGGGCGTTCTCGGCTCGCTGGCTGGAGTGTGAAGGATCAGGAAGACACATGACTGGAAACACTCGGATGTGTGGATGGCGGACCTGTTGTGATCCTCTGAACACTGGTTTATGTCCGTTCCCTCTCTCTTCGTTTGTTTATTTCGCATACGTTGTGGCACTATTCCAATTGTACTATTGATCGTGTTTAAGATTATATATATGGTCTGCGTTTCCCGCTTTTTCATAACTGCCGTTATTCGCTCTCTCTTAGTTGGGAAGTCGCTTGTCTCTCTTCGAGACCGATAAGTTTGCGCTTTGACAACCACGCATCTCTGATATCTATGCAACGAACGGACTCACAGGTATTGCCTAATGTACGATATCCGGGTTATGGGAATCAATCCTTTTACTGGCCTGTTCACTCACTTCCTGTTTGGTCCATAACTGGGACTATGGTTGTCCTATCACATCTAATCCTCCTAATGCTGAGTTACAACATTCGGGTCAAGCACAAGGATTCGTGTCGCTGCTCAGTCGCTGACTACCCGTCAGTTGCCTACACGCAGGTAACGCGTTGGTTGTTCCTAACTGGCTACAACTTACTACTACTTTAGATGCATGGTAGTCAGTCAGTGTGTCCGTCTAGTGAGTGTATGGGCCCGATGCTTACGGTGGTACCTTTAGATCCAGCACCACATTTTTGGTCTTTTTGTTGAACGGCGTAGCTTGTTCTTTTGCGCGCTGATCTGGGTCACACCGAGGATATGGTTTTTAACTCTCCCATCCATCAGTGGTGTTTCTTATACTCTTTATTCATACCATCTAGTCCCTACTAGACGGTTCTTGCTCCAGTCACTTACGGGACGGGTCATCTCTCTGGCTATATTATTAGTGGCTCTATAACCTAATGTGCACGTTTCTTAGTTTCATCTAGCAACTATTAATTTTGCAATTCTTTTCTGAATTTCGCTCCTCATCCCACACAGGCACCAATGACAAAGCCGGTGGACCTCAATACGCCCTCCGATTTACTTCGCCATTGTCCATCAAAACTCAGCTCCTGCCTATCGGACCATGGAAACAGCCCCACATGTCTTGATCTCTCATGCCGTGTCATCCTCATTTTCAATTGTTGCAGTCTTCCACAATATGCATGATAGTTCATTCTTTTTTGGTCATCTCTCGTCTACAATATTACGCGCAAGGAGTCACCTTTCCATCTTTCTGCTTGTGTTTCAGTTCCTTTGCTACGAACTAACTTTTTGATTATTTCCTTTGGTAATAATTTACGCGTAATTGTTTAACTATGTACACTACCGCACGTTTTGTTGCACAGATCAGTGTGTTAGTTGTTCAGTTACGATTCCACAAGTCGCCTTGACCCTCATCCTTGTCATGATTGGAAGCTTTCGGCTTTGTTTCACCTCAACACCGGACGGGTAAGCAATGTTGCTCGTTCGTTCACCTGTCGGTTGTCTCTGCATGGCACTTCAGTTAGTTAGAGTTGGCTTTCTTCTGCCGACTCCTATTTGTGGCTGAAATCCGTTGACTTTAATCACCATACGCCTCTGGTGTCACTATCTTATAGTTTGGTTTAACCCAATTTCGGCCACTTGCCTGGATCTTATGGTCTGAGTACTCACTCATTCTTGATGCGTCACTGCAACCATGCCCCCGGCTACTTCATGCTTCATCCATGCAGCTCTGTTGTTGATGCGTTCACCTACTTACTCCCAAAACAATCCACTTGGAGCAGGGTAACAGCCGTTCTGTATAATCCAGATACAAATATGTGATCCCGTTATTCATCGCTGCAAATAAGCAATGGGTGGACTCACTGCATTCATATAATCCGCAGCAGATGCGTCTTATGACACCGGATTAAGAAAACCGGGTGCACTTCTTAATTCCGCCATCTAAAGAGCACTCTGCCAATCCGCACTGGTTGGTGGTGTGCCCACGAAATATTGACAGCGGTGAACACCGTTTGCCATCCGAAATAACTCAGAACACTAGTAGCTCAGATTGACTGTTCAGTTGCACATGTCCTCGCCGAGCTGGGTACTCAGCGGATAGCGGCCTCCGGTCGGTTATTTTTGGCTGTGTTGACAAGATCATTTTGTGTTGGATTTTTTCGTTCATTGGAATTATTTCGTGGAAATTTAGATACTATTCAGTTCCATTTCTGATTCTGACTTTTTCGGTCATAAATAATTGTGTTTTCACCGCTTGGTTTCCGCGATCCTTCTGTCGCCATTTTGTTTTCGGATTATTCAAAATGCCGAGGCAATCACTGTGGTACTTGTTCCAAGGTAGTCGGATGCTGTGCAAATGCACTCATATGTTTTGTGCCGTTAAATACCACATTTCATATGTTGGGTTTTCAGTTGAGCATTTTCATCATCTTCGTGAAATCCAACACGATTTCGTTCAAACATTATGTGAAAATTGCCGAATCAAGGTACAGCCACGAAGAGTAATGCCGACGTATAGGCTTCATAATTCCGTTGCGAACAGCTCCGCGTGTTTGGCCCAACAATCTAGCCCGAAGAGCCTTCAGGTTTCAGCTCATTCTTCCTTCCGTACCCGTGCAAACTCACCGGCACGAAGTCCAACCGTTGTGAGAAGCCCAGTTTCACCTGACAGAACTTATTTACCTTTGTTGTGTCCAACGAGCACTGATGTCCCAGTAGGTGAAAGCCTGAGTGCTGAAGACCAGTGGAAAGAATGAAATTACAAAGGGATGTTGGGCATTTAACTTCTGTAAGTCAACTGTTAGCCAAACCATTTGTGGCTCGTAATATACTTCGCTCTGCAAGCTCAACCTCGTCCGACCAGAGTCCTTATAACCTCGTGATTTTCCACGTGCCGGATTCCATTGATCCATCACTCCAAGTGCGCTACGATCACGATGTCGAGTTTTCACAGAATCTAATTGACAGACCTCGACGCTGATGAGGAATCGATAAAAGTGAGGCAAATTACCTGTCTTGGAATGCAAGGTGATCAACAAAGTCGGCCTACAAGAATCCTTTTTGTGAACGAAGACAGTCCAAGACTAATCTTCTCCCGCCTAGGTAGGCTGAAAGGTTTGGAGATCCATGATGGTCTAGACCTAGTCCCAGTAGACCGGGAACGGCTCGAGTCTGCCATCGCTAAGCTACAAAGACGTACTAGTGAGGTGGAAACAAATCACTATATCGTAAATTTTTAGATGGTTTTCAAGAATCTGCGAGTAAGGATAAACAGGCTTCTCACACTTCAAGCTCGGCCGGCGGCTCCTGCTGCGGCCTGCGAGTAGCCTTCACCAACGTTTACAGTTATGAACAGGCGCGATGAGCTTTGTCGTTTCGTTGCGTCTGAGCGGCCAGACGTAGTGGGACTCGCAGAGACATAGCTTCTTTCAGAGTTATACACCCAGGAACTTGAACTTAACGGTTACTCTTGATTCTGCCGCGATAGACTAACGAATGCTCGCGGTGGTGTCTTTCTCTACATCTGGTCTTCCCTGCGTGGGAGACTTTTAAGCACATACCTTAGGGACGATGGTTTGTGTGAGCTACTGTGATGCTCCATCCACCTCAGGCGCGGAGAACTACTTGCGGGCACAGTCTGTCGCAGCCCCCTGAGTCGTTGTTTGGATTTCCTGCCCAATCTTCGAGCCAACCTGAGTCTTCCATATTTTCTACTTATATGCGAACAAGATGGCCTGATGTGCATTTGTTGCCTGGACATAGTGAGGTTGAAACGAAGTTCGTGAATTTGATACTTGAAACTGGTGCATCGCATCACATTTGCCAGCCAGCACGCATAGCACCGCCCTCAACCCCGTCCTGTCTCGACCTGATGTTAACAAGCCACGAACGACGAGTGCGTGACGTTCGGATCCTGGGGCCCTTGGCTACAAGCGATTCCTCAGTGCTCATATCTGATATGGAACTCTCTTTGCCATATCGATGTACGCTGGAGCCAGCTTATAACTACTTGACAACGGACTTTCACAGTCTAGCTCGAGCCGCAAGCCAGCTGGATTGGTCTCTTTCACAAGCTGCATCTATGGAAAACTGTTGGACACTTATAAAAGAAAGATTGACGTCCTTGTGTTCCCATTTTGTGCCCTCAAAGTGTAGGGAGTTTGGATCGACTAAGCCACACTGGTTTGACAAGGAGTATTTAAATCTGGCTCTTACGCGGCGCAGGCTGTGGGACAGATTCCTCTTCTCTGACTCTGTCAAAGACTACGAAACCTATAAAAGTCAGAATCATCTGCAACATTGCAAAAAGGAATAATCGCTGACATTTCGAAGAGCAGCTCGCAATCGCCGCGAAGACCGCCCCAAAGAGAATCTTTGCTTACATGAAACGACGCCTGAAGCCAGTAGGTGATGTGCTAGTGCTGCATGGTTCGGACGGACAGCCCCTAACTTCCAGCACTGAGTGTGCGTCCAGGTTGGTGACTCACTTCGCTTCTGTATTTGCAAATGACCAGGTGTCTGTTTCGACTTCCAAGTGTACCGCTTTTACCAAACTCGACAGTCTGCATTGCGGCGTTGAATAAGTATGCAACTACTCGCCAACCTTGACGGCACAAAAACCTGCCGGACCTGATGGGCTCCACCCACTGATTCTCAATTCACTTTCGGCCATCATCTCTCCTGTCGTGACTGACCTTTTCAACAGGTTGCTGTACGATGGTTCGTTGCCGATTGACTGGAAATATTCGGTGGTGATACCTATTCCGAAAGGCGGCGCCCCTAGCAAAGTAGAGAACTACAGGCCCATTTATCTGACGCCTATTTTGGCAAAGGTTGCTGAGAAAATCGTGAAGTAGGAATTGCTGTAGTTGCTACAGTCAAATGAGGTGTTGACGCCCGCACAGCACCGTCTTATGCATGCCGCTCATGCATTACAAACTTGCTTGTGACGAGACATGACTGGTTGCAGGCACTGCGTAAGGGAAAGTCTGTCGACGTGATATTCATCGATTTCAGTAAAGCGTTCGACAACATCATCCATGGGTCCCCTTTCACAAACTCAGATTGTGCGGTGTCGGTGCCTCACTGCACCGGTGGATCCGCAACTTTCTTGTTGGATGAAAGTGGAGGGTACAGGTCGACGACAACCTAACTGGCTGGTATTTCTCTACAACTGGCGTGTCTCAAGACACTATGATGGGGCCCACTCTGTTCCTGATCCACATCAATAATCTATCTCAGCTTTTCTGGTCGCCGGATGGCTTGTTTGCGGACGACATGAAGATTTGGAGAGAAATTGACGTTCCCGATGACTGTGACGTACTTTAGCAAGACCTCAATCGCCTGTCCACATGGTCTGCAGAAGTTCATCTCCCGGTCAACCCAGCCAAGTCTGTATTTCTGAGCCTGAGGTAAGGTGCTGACAGCTGAACCTACACCATTGACGGTCAACCGCCATATCCCACAGCCCAGTGAAAGACCTAGGTGTACTCTCGCGCTACGATTTGAAGTCCGTGGACAACACGAACAGGCTATATCGGAACGGACTGCGCATGCTTTGGGCGCTCAAACGTAGCTTCGGCACATGGTCCGAAGAGGTTGCCACTCGCCTCTTCTCTTCCATTAGACCACTTCTAGAGTACAGTTCGCGCACCTACTTTCCGATTAATCGAGACGAGGCACAAAAGATCGAACTGGTCCAACACGTTGCTACCTGGCTCATCCCGAGGTTACGTGGTTTGGAGTATGAAGACCGGTGCGAGAATCTAGGATTCTATACCTTGTCCTACCATCAGATGCGAGTCGACGTCATTACGACCTACCGTATCCTACATCGGTGACTTCCCCATGTTGAAGCCAATGCTGCACTTACGATGGTCATGCAGCACACGCAGACACAGGTGCAAACATTTTGGGTAAGATGTGATGCCAGTTCCCCACCCACTGCTTCGCACGGAGAGTGGTAAATATTTGGAACAGTTTGCCTGAGCATATGATGGAGACAACACCTGTGCAGCAGTGCAATACGTTGTTGGATCTATGTTTTGCCACTATTCGGTTAAAGAGAACGATTTCACACGTACGATGACATCTCACATTTGTGAATCTTGCAATACCGTGAGTCAGCTATTTTAAATGCTGCATAAGAATGATAACGATATTCACGGCTGCCAATTTCTATAACTTTTCACCATGTTTCGAAAGTGTTGTACAGGATTCATTTCTACTTGCTCTATAATACAGTATTCAGCTTGCAAACGTTTCATCACTAGACGAGTTGCCATCATCCTCGCTACACACATGAACATCTGGAACGTCTGCTCGTCTTTTGCCATTCCGCGCCTCATTAATGCTATTTATTCCTACACCCGAATTATCATCGGAGTGGCGGCATCTTCGGCCGTAAACGAGGGTGCAGCCTAACCAGTTGCGAAAAGGACTTTCAGTAGATGTCTACTGGCAGTAGTGATCTTTGTGCATCGTGTTTATAGCGCGATCCAACCAAGCCTTGATCTTCATCATGTCAAGCATCCCAAAATAGCTGGAACTGCATGGGCGATATAGTGCATTTTTCTTACCTACCAGCAAAGAAG